TGACGAGCTCTATTTTAAATAAAGGTTACAGAATTTCTAGGTTCATTTGAAATGTTTTTGCTATTATTTAAAAAAACGAAAATTCGACAATCATTATTTTAGTGGCATATTATTCCAATATCGTCCATGTTTTACAAAAACAACCTTGTTCAATTTTCGAATCTTTCAACCTAATACGAAAAACATTGAAACTGCACCAATAAATGCCATGACCCAAGCATTAAAATCGAGCTTGTCATTCAAAATGTGAGGGAAGCATCACAAGTTTTCACCCTACCCTCAGATGGCCTGCCACTTTAAAGTGCAAGATTGTTGTGGGTCTTGTTCCATATTCAATTATGATTCCGCACTCCCTGAATCTGAATTAAATTGCTAAATGATTATAAAAAGCAAGGTTAGATATACATATATTTGCAAACTATAATCAAAGACCAGTGCCTAGAAAAACTTGAAAACTTCTTTTAGAGAAAACTTACTACTTTGAAAAGTATAGCGGCACTTTAAAGAAACACTATCAACATTAGTCATATTCAAGTCAGAGAATGAGGAATTCTAACCCCACCGTAGCAGAGAATCCAAGCCGTAGAATTCAATTATTCACACAAAAAGTTTTGAAAAACTCATTTCAGTCTTCCTTCTTTGACATAAAGTTTTGTGACCCAAACGCGCGCAGTAAAATGAAAACATCGATTTTCTGTTTATGTGTATCACCGCATGCTTGTACAGAAATCTACAAATTCAAAATGGCAAATTATTGCGTCACTGCAATTTATTGCGGTTGCAGGAACATATACGAGGAACATTAGATATTCAAGATTCATAGCTTACCGGAAACGTCTCGTCTTCTGCGACGTAGTGCGTTTTTCCTCCACAGTCGCTTAGCCACTCTAAAACAAATTCTCGATCGAGGAACATAATTTAAAGTCACACATATCGAGAATGAAAATATATTTAAAATTCATAAGTTACTGTAAATCAAAATTGAAATAAGAAGTCTTATAGAAGGAAAGTTTTCCCCCTGAACGCCTTTGCGGAGGAAAAAAATTTAAATTAAAAAAAAGGGTTTAGAACCGACCATTTTTGGGAAGAATCACGTTGATGGTAAACAAAATCTTTAAGATGCTGCAAAAAAAAACAAACCAGTTGTGCTGAATATCAACCAGTCCAGTTCAAATAGGGAAATTTGATTTAAATCAGGCCTGCGTTAAAAAAAATATGTAAAAAATGATCAAAACAACGGATTAACAACGAAAGCTATCATTTCTTACTGTCTTTGTGACCGAAAGCTCTGATGCGAGACAATACGTTACACTGTCCATTCTTTGAGTAGAGGATCGTATATATATTGTATTTATATAACGCAATCATTAAGCAAAACTTAGAAAATCGATACTTTGACAAAAGTTACGTATTATGCTTAAAGGCAGCTTTTTATCGATACACAACATGATGAAATTAGTCATGAAGAAAACAGGAACATGCTTCTCAAAGTTATGTAAATTTAAACTCGCGATTGTCAATGTTAACGCTGATGCATGCCAATTTAATGGCCTTGCCGTAATTGTCACAATGAAATCGTCAGACGAAGAAGCCAACTTTGAAGCTGATACTTACTTTTCATAGTTTCACATTCAACTGACAAACAGATTTCGAGTGATCCATTAGCTGAGAGGTTACATTAAATAATTCATACAAATGAACACCTGCAATTATATTAATTCAGACTAACTATCAACCGTGATCACATGTCGTCAGGATGATGAAGTCATAAAAGGAAATCATGTACTCACAGTTTGAAAACGGCTTCGTATTTTACTGGCAGAGCGTTCCACTGATAAGCAAATGAATGGCTAAGTCAAATAATTGACACAGATGACCATCTACCAATGATATAACTTCAAACTTGAGACCGTATCCTGCACGCTAAAATACGGACATCACATGGTCATCAGAATGGATTTGTAATAAGAAATTCATTAGTTTGACAACGGTATCGCGGTTCCATTATATAGAGCGACCCACTGATATACAGTATGATAGTCTGAAATGGGAAACAGTTTCAGTTAATCACTGTCAAGTCATAAAAATTGATTGCGGAGGCCGCAGGATCAAACAATGGCACCAACCAGCGATCTGCGCCAAAACGTTATAAACCGTATACTAAATGCGCAATATAATTTGATCAGTAAAGTAGCCAGCTTTTAGTCAGGAAAAAGAGAAACAAGTCATTCAAAGCCAAAGACGATATGCAGAATGATCCCATGCTTAGCAGCAAGAGAAACATGAAAAAGATCTTTCTGATTGTGATCTCATTAAATAGTGTATTCTTTATTGCTTTTCATTCCATCATTCCATGAAATCAGAAGATATGTTAGTTTCAAGTCACTACTGGCATGGTATTGATGCGAGTTTCAAATTTATTCACATCTCCATTATTTCACATTATAAATTATTTTTAATTCAGTAAATTTTATTCAGAAATTAATTTTTTGATCCAAATATCACAGAAAATATTTTAGGGTACGTCTAAAATAATCTTGCAAGAAACGATAATCACAACAAATTTATCAAAATAATATCGTAAAACAGACCTAAAACTATATTAAATTTTTTTGAAGTCGTTAATATCAGGTATTTATTCCGTAATAACTGCCGCATGGGCATCAGTTAACTGTTCTTGCCATGAGCGCA